CGAGCAGGGAGCCCGATGCGGGACTCGATCCCGGGACTCCAGGATCATGACCTGAGCCGAAGGCAGTCGCTTAACCAACTGAGCCACCCAGGCGCCCCCACCACCCATGCTTTCTAACAGAACTAAACAGAACATCCATCTTTTCGCAGCTTTTGCCAAAGTCCTGTGGGAGGCTTTGCTGACTGCTGGCGCAGGCTCACTCTAAGTGGCAGCTCTCAAAAGGTGGCCCCAGTCGAAGATGAGTTGAGAACCCCAGGCCTCGCCCGGTTAAGCCTTCCTTCCCAGCCAGACGACGGGAGCCAGGCTTGCAGGCAATGTTCCCCCTCTGGCCTCTTGTTGCGAGTGGCCTCAAGGCTGGCCTTGGAGGGGACAAGGAGAGCATGAGGCCATAAACACAAGAGCCTTCAGGTGTGAAAATGCATGAGAGAAGACCTCTGGCTCTGGTCATTCACACCCAGATCCGACTGGGAAGAAACACACCAGAAGCCCAGTAAGTTCCTGGGGTGACTTTACTGGCCTACAGACCTCCCACACACCTAGCCTGCAAAGGCCTGCGTGTGTGTGCGTACCGGCGTGCAGGGACCTGGTAACTTCTCTTCTGGCTTGCCGGCCACCTGGCCATTAGGAGCCACACTGGACTGGCTGGACGGATGGAGCAGCCCCCAGGGCTCCTGGCCAGTGATGGGGTAGGGCTCGGAGAGAGGCTACAGGTGGCCTCTGTGCAGGAAGAAGTGCACCATGGGTCCCTGTGCTGATCCTGGGTGCCAGAGCACCAGCTTCTTCTAGAGTTCTTTCTCCACTTTCCTCGCATCAAAAGAACCTCCAGGTTCTACCTGGGCGTATAACCACGCCACCCGAGATGTCCCTACCTCCCCTGTGGCTAGGTGAGGCCATGACTGCCTTTAGGGCAGTGAGCTATGACCTGCAGTGGTGTGGACATACTCTGGCTTGTGCTCTCAAAACGGCCCACGCTTCGTGTCCCGTGGCACATGACGGCAAGAAGGGCCTTCTCAGACCACGAGGTGGAGGTCGTGTAGCGAGGACAACAAAGGGACAACTCAGAGGAGCTGGGGCACCTGATGGGGGGTAGCCGTCCGCTGCCCCGGACTGCTTAGGCTCACACGGTCATGTGAGAGAAGGCCTAACATTTTGTTTCTGCCACCGATACTCTGGTCACTGAGAAGGAGACTGGCTCCTGGTGTCCATGTCAGCCTCCTCAGAGCGTGCCCCCTGCACGTCAGAGCCTGGACAGCTAAAGCTGTTAGATGCATTCGTGCGAGGCTCCAGGGGTAACCGAGGCAGAAGCCATCTTTGGCTGAGTGGCCATTCTTGCTGAGTGCGTGGGCACAGAGATGGTGGCTTTTCCTGCAGGAGCACTGTCCTGTGCGTCACTAACTTTATGAAGGGGGTCAAGTAGCAGAGGCCCCGGGGTTTCCTGATTCCTTGGTCCACCACAGCCCCTGCTTAGAAGCCAATAGCCCGGTGGCACTCTCGTGCAAACCTGGCCTCCCCAGGGACCACATTGCTGGGCTGGGCAGGTCTGAGGCCACTGGAGGCCTGGGTGGAGCCCACCCCTCAGCCGTCCCCCGGGTTCCAGACCATCTTCCCTGCCTCAGCCTGAGTCGCTTCCATTCCTGCTGGGGAACCCTGACTGGCGCTCATGAGAGGTAGACAAACACCTGCACATGGCGGATGTCATGGCCGGTGTGATAAAATCACGCTCCTCTGCACTTCCAGGTGCAACTCTCAGCTGGAAGGGGATGTACCACCCCACAGATAAATGTCCGAGGATGCCTCAGGGTCCTGCACCCTAGAAGGCCCGCGTGTGCTGCTGGCTGAGCCAGACCGGCCCAAGCACTCACCTTGTTCAGCAGGAAGACATACTTAGTCACCAGCGCCTGCAGCTCAGGAATCTGGCTCTCGACCCCCAGGAGCACGTGTTCCACAAAAAGGGCCACGGGGAAAATGCGGTTCCAATGGGTTCTGTGAGAGAGGGCTGTCACTCCCTGAGCTCGGACAATAGCGTCTGAGACGCCAGGCGGAGGGGGCAGGGCAGGATCCGAGAAAGGGGTGGGGTGAAGGCAGACGGAAGACTGTGTGCTCCCAACCCCCAGCCACCTCCCAGCCACCTCCGTGTCCCCCACGACCTCCCTGAGACTTGCAGAGCAGAGGGGACCAGGGGGCCACGTCCTACACGCAGCAGTGCCGCCTGAATACTGCCTGGCTCTGGAAGGCCAGCACGGGACGCCTAGCCTAACTGCTCGTCACCTCTCCTCTGCCCTGCTGGTGCCCACTGTCCTGCCTGGGGCCCCTTCCCACTGCTCCCTTCTTTTTTTTTTTTTTTTTTTTAAAGATTTTTCTATTTATTCATTCGAGACACAGAGATAGAGAGAGAGAGAGAGAGAGAGAACATGAGCGGGGGAGAGGCAGAGGGAGAAGCCGGCTCCCCGCTGAGCCAGGAGCTGGACATGGGGCTTGAGCCCAGGACGCTGGGATCATGACCTGAGCCGAAGGCAGACGCTTAACCATCTGAGCCACCCAGGCGCCCCCCCACTGCTCCCTTCTGCCAGCATTTCTCCCATGGGACCCCAAGCATCTGCTCCCTTCTGTCCCGCCTGCACCCCAAGCACTCCCTGAATGCGGTTTCCCTCTCTGTGTCTCCAGCCTCAGCATGCTGCCTGGCACGGAAGAAGGTTCAGCAGATGTGATGGGATGTGAGTGAGGAAAGGATCCTTTTCCAGGGCAAGAGAACCCCACGTGCCTGGGACCAAGCCAGCCGCAGGTGAGCACATGGGGAAGGGACGGGTGTGGGCCGGGCTGCCGGTCTCACCTGACTTCCCTGATGACATCTCTGGCCACCCTCCCGCAGCTGGGCAGGTACCCGTCAGAGCCCAGGAGCTCCAGCGGCATGGACAGATTCTTCACCATGTGCAGCCACGCCTGAGGGCTGGGCTGCAGGATGTCCCTCGTCAGCACCTCCGTGCAGGCCACTGCTGCCAGGGCATCCAGGATCTGGGGGATGGAGAACAAGCACCCGATGAAACAGCACCCTCACCCCTTCTCGCTGCTCTACGTGCTAAGTCCAGAGGTCCAGGCTGCGACCCCAGTGTGTTCTCGTGCTCCAGGCTTGAGCCTCAACTTTTCTCGTCCTGGGCCATAGAAGGCATGAGTCAGATGTGTTCCTCGCTCCTCTGCCTTACCCGGGCCCACCTGCCCCGGCAAGCAGTCTCCCGTGCAGAACACGGCTCCCGGGCTTTCCCATCCCGGGCAGCCCTGGAAGCAAACCCCCCCCCCCCCCCCCCCCGCTCCAGGAAGGCCAAGCCCTGACTCTGAGCACAAACTGTCTCCACGAGAGGCCATACCAGCTCATGTCCGTCCAATCTGGTGTTCCATGGGCCTTCTGTTATGTTGTAAAATAGCACTTGTAGAATCTCGGGGTAGACAGTCAAGATTCTGGACAAGTTCTGCAGCCGGCCCCTGAAGTGCTGATAAGCGAGGTGCACCCACGGTAAGGAGACATCTTCCTCTGGCCTCCCTGCCTGCACTTGATTGATGCAGGACCCCAGTGCCACCTGCAAAACCTGAGATGAGAAACAAGCTTTTATCGTACATCTGTAAAATACAAAGAAAAAATACGTTTTCACAGTGGAAAATTTGAACTGCTCAGAAATGACAAAAGAGAACGTTAAAAACCACGCACACTGTTACTGTCCCTGGGTACTTTCTGGTGTCACCCCTTCTAGGCATTTTATATCCATATTCTGCCTCCGTTTTGTCCTCAAGTTACAACCATGGTGTACTCCTGATTTTCCCCCACTTAATATCACATTATGAACACTTCCGTCATTAAATGCACTTGAAGAACACCATTGTTAATGTGTGTACCAATTACAATAACCATTCACCAATCAAATGGCTGTAACGTAATTTGCCTCACCTTTTATGATGGACAATTAAATTGTTTCTATTTTTTCGTTTTAAGAAACAAAGCTGGAAAGAACATTCCCATGGGTAAAACGTGTGCCCACATCTGATCATGCTCTCGGGACAAAAACTGCGGTTCAGATTTTGTTAGGTTCCCAATCCCTGCCTCCAGGCTTTTCCAGGAGCACTGGCTGATTCCCAGCAATGGAGGAGTCTCTGGCCTTGTCACAAACCAGTCCTGCTACGTGGGCAAGTGAAAGCAGTATCTAAAAACCACTCACGTTCTGTTGACTTAACAGTGAGGCTGGCTAGTTTTTCTAATGTTTCTAGATCTCTGTATAATTATTCTATTAATTCTTAGTTTGTATGACTTTCACCTATTTTTTAAAATTAGGAGACTCTCTGAGGCACCTGGGTGGCTCAGTGGGTTAAGCATCCGACTCCTGATTTTAGCTCAGGTTGTGATCTCAGGGTCATGAGATCAAAATCTGTGTTGGGCTCCAGGCTCAGTGGTGAGTCTACTCAGGATTCTCTCCGTTTCCCTCGGCCCCTCCGGCTCTCCCTCTGGGGACTCTGGGATCATGACCTGAGCCAAAGGCAGATGCTTAACCGACTGAGCCACCCAGGTGCCCCAAGGAGACTTTCTTATTGATTCCTAAGGATGTTTTATTTCACTTTATTTTTTTAAGTAGGCTGCATGCCCTGTGTGGAGCCCAGTGTGGGGCTTGAACTCAGGACCCTGAGATCAAGACCTAAGCTGAGATCAAGAGTCAGAGGCTTAACCTACTGAGCCATCCAGGCCCCCAATTTTATTCTATATTTTTAAGTAATCTGTACACCCAACATGGGACTCGAACTCACAACCCTGAGATCAAGAGTCACACACTCCACTGACGGAGCCAGCCAGGCGCCCCTAAATTCCTAAGAATATTTTATTAACCCTTAATCATACTGGTTGTAAACATGTTCTCCTCAAATTTGTCACTTTCTTTTTTTATGTACTTAAGTTTGAAATCCTTCGGTCATCGGAAGTATCGTAACGTCCACTAAAATTTCAGCTACCGTTATTGTCTGTAATGATCAGTTAAATATTCACCTAATTTTCTTCAAGAGAAACTCCACATTTAAAAAGAAGGTGTTACAGGGAAATTGGAGGTCTTCCTCGTGTTAATGAAAAGCCCATGGTTTGGGGGCCCCAGGTGGGGGCTGAGGGTCAAACACACTCAGCAGTGGAAGAATGGCTTGCACCCGTCCATGAGACACGAGCATCACCCCGCCCCAGACCCAGCACTTACCTTCAGTTCTTCCCACGTGGACACTCTCATCGTCAAGAGGAGAAAGTCCTTAATGTAGCACATAAACAGTTCTCGCTGCCATTCTACACTGAGCTGAGCAAGAAACCTGCCCAGGGGGGTCTGCCGAAAGATTTCCACTAAATTCTTCGACACTCCTGCAAAGGAGAGCAGTGGAGGGTATGGAGGGAGAACGTGAGGCGTGACTCTTGCCCTGCATTCAGAACACCTCGCATCTCCTGGGGAAGGGCAGCTCTGCAAGCAGTAACCGCGGATAAGGCTCCACTGAACGGCGGCTCTTGGCAAAGGGGAGCGAGCTGCAGGATTTAATGGTCCTTTCTAGACATTTGAGATGTTTTTCCAGTGGCGTAACAGAAACAAAGGCAGAACAGATGTTAGATTTGTCACCAACAGCCTAGCTGGCCCCCAAGGGATGAAACGACCTGAGACAGACCAGGCTCTATGGCTAGCAACATAATGTGCTTCAGGAACCCCAGGGTCCAAGTGGGCCAGGAATGAGTGGGCTGCTCTTCAGGGGCTGGGGTCACGTGCCGCTTAAACCAGAAAGCTCTGCCTCTAGTGGACGAGTGCAGACCCCTAAGTCACCTGCCGTCACAGGAAAGCAGGGTCAGTTAGGGTACGGCCTTGAAAAAAAGAAACACTCCTTCCTCAGGATAGAGACTGCTTCAGTTTGTTCAGAGAAAGTTGCAGAATGTGTACCCACCGAAGTAAGATGGTCAAGTATTTTGACCTTTTGTTTTTTTTTAAAGATTTTTACTTATGTATTTGAGAGAGAATGAGAGAGAGAGAACGAGCAGTGGAGAGGGGCGGGGGGGGAAGGGGGAGAGAGAGAGAGAGAGAGAGAGAAAGAAGCAGATGCCCCGCGGAGCAGGGAGCCCGATGCGGGGCTCTATCCCAGGACCCTGAGATCATGACCTGAGCTGAAGGAGGCAGACGCTTAACAGACTGAGCCACCCAGGCGCCCCTTGACCTGTTTTTTCCCAAAGGTAATACCATAAGTAAACTTTGAAAAGACTATCTCACGTATGAAAGATGACTTTTGCAAAAGCATGCACTACCCCGGATTTCCTGGGACGCCTATGGCCTATGGCCAACCTGTTTGGCCTGTGACGGCAGAACAAGGAGCCTCATGGTTCAGGACACTGACCGCTCAGTTTGGAGGAAGCTGGTCCACTCTGTGGTCACTGTTGGGAAAGGCTCACTTAGGGACATCTCCTGAGTGCTGGTGCCCTAGCTGTCCAGAAGCCTCCGAATGGCAATGACCCACTTATGACGGCGAGTCAGCACATGTCCTGTTTCACCACATCCCTGGGCTCACCTTCAGCTCCAGTGATGTACTGAGCCTGGACCCACAGTTCCTCCAGATAGTCCTTGATTCTCCAGCTAAATGGGACGTCACCGGACACGTCCTCGGGAGGGCTCATGTAGTTCTGCACCGTGATGTAGGGCATCTCACTTTTAGGTCTGCGGTCGGGCAAAGGAGGACAAAGGACAGGCTCAGTGAGAGGTTGCTTGAGGCAGGAGACCCACACTGATGCCAGGTCCTCTCCATGCTCAACAACGCAGGTGCCTAAAAGGCTTCAGAGGCAGCCTGCTGGCCCATTTCACAGCTCAGGGCTTCTATTACAAAGGAATCCAGGATGTCCACAGATCATCTCTGTCTCACAGACAAACAGAAGCAAACCAAGGCTGGGAAGAGTCAAGCAGCCTGCCCAACGTCTGGGCCAGAACCGGGTCTTGCGGTGTCTGGACCTACCCTCACCCTCCACCTACGCATATAGAACACGGCTTGTCTGAAGCCACCCTTTCCCTCACGGTCAACGGTGTCTTGTCTTCTGAGTAAGTGTTTCCACTGGAGATTCAGAATCCCAGTTACCTGTATACTCTTTATTCACCCATACTCCAGAATCGAAGCCCCTGAAGTCCAAGAGGAAGCTTTTGGGAGGCCTGCTGAGAGTGAGTTGCGCAAGAGCAGGCCCAGGGTGGGCCATGTGGGTCGTGCCGCAGAGTGAGGAACAGACAGAGCCCCACAGATCAAACAGCTCTCTGAAGCACAGCCTCGCCAGTGTAGACGAAGCTGAAGCTGGCAATTCTACCTGTGACGGGTGCTCCGGAAGCAGGGGAATGAGGAAGGGGAATGAGACCAGGATTTCTCAGAACTTCCCAGAACTCCCTTTGTTACTGTAATGCCATCACCCTCAGGCTGCAAAAGGACGCAGCATTTAAAATATATGTGATGCAGGGGCGCCTGGCTGGCTCCGTTGGTGGAGCATGTGACACCTGATCTCGGGGTTGTGAGTTTGAGCCCCATGCTGCGTGTAGAGAGTACTTAAAAATAAAATCTTAAAAAAATAAAAAAATAAAATAAATGTGATTCCGAAATTGAAACCTAGGCTTCATCAATTACTTGGAAGAGCACATGAAGACTTCTGCTGCATTACAATTTTTTTCCCTTCCCACAAAAAGAAACTCTATTTACCTCGTATCGTTTATCACAAGAGGAATGTTCAGAAGCTTCATGTCCCGGAAAATAAACATCCAAAGATCTCTTGTCCAAGATGGAGAGTCTGGCCTGATCAGTAGCTCGAGGTTGCTGTCTCTGTCCAGGACAGATACCATGCTCGCCAGGAGAGGGGTCACCACACCCTGGACCCGCTTCCAGAGGGTCTGCCTGCAGCGAGGGAAGAGGAGATCTCATTCCAGCTCGACCACCACATGCTGCCGTGGAAGTCCCGCCTCCTTTCGACGTTTGGCTTCTTCTGGGCTGGAACAGCAGGTCTGGTCTACCAATTCCACGCTATGGCTACAGCCGTAAACGCTAATTGCCATTGTTTTTAAGTACTCGAAGAAAAATTCACAGATAGAAACTTCTAGGATTGGAGGCAGGACTGGAACGGACCTTAATTCTACATGGAAAATATGGTCATCGGTTCCCTGAAAAGGCCAAGCAGCATTTGCTGAATTCTGTTATATAGCTAATTTCCCACAGCAAGTTGTCCAGACTCTATAAAGAAAGAAGGACCATGTGGCATTTGGGGAAGAAATAAATGTTACTCTAAGGAAAAAAAAAAAACAAAAAACAGTTGTGCAGAGAATATAATAAAGCACAAGGCAAAATAAATGTGTTCCAGGTCAAGCGAAACAGGAAAGCACCTGTTTCTCTAGAAGGTAGCTCTTGTTGACGGTTGTGTACGCTGGATCTGAGTGTTTACATATCCAGAGGGACATTTCACTGCTTCTATGAACTATGCCGTCCTTCACTGTTATCACGAAGTTTATACATAATCATAAACTCTGTAACACAGTGTAACACATCTACTACCAGCTAGTCAGGGAGACCAATTCAGGCTCCATTTTGAAAAGAAGAAAGAAAGATGATTTCCTTCTTTTTTTTTTTTAAAGATTTTTTATTTATTTATTTATTTGAGAGTGAGAACACATGAGAGGGGATAGGGTCAGAGGACGAAGCAGACTCCCTGCCAAGCAGGGAGCCCGATGCGGGACTCGATCCAGGGACTCCAGGATCATGACCTGAGCTGAAGGCAGTCGCTTAACCAACTGAGCCACCCAGGCGCCCAAGATGATTTCCTTCTTAAAGTATGTGGTGTGCAGGGAGCTGGCGAGAATTCACAAGCGTCTACTGAGGAAACAAAGCATGCTAACAATCAAGAGAGCACTTGACTGAAGGAGAGAGTGCCCACGTCGGGCAAGTACAGAAGGCTGGCTGCAGGGCACCCAGGAAGGCGGACCTGGACAGGCATCCAGACCTCGGACGTTAGGAACAACCAGGACTATCACGCCTTGGATTTTAATCCCGAGGGAGCAAATGACTTGGGTCCCAAGTACGTGGATGGTAAAGAGACAGACGTCGAGATTGTGAGAGTGGGCTAGCAGGCTTCAGAGCCCGCCTGACAGCTGACACAGGGAACCTACAGGTGTGGTCCCGACCGCTCCATGAAGGTGTGTTCAGAGAGCACTGGCGGCAGCTAAGGGTGGGCCACCCCGAAGCCACAGCCAACGGCAGAGCAGACAGAAGTGGGGCCACATGCCACTCGGAACACCTGGCAAGTGTGGGAAGTCCGGTGGCTGGAGAGGCACCAAAAATGCAGATCTTAAGGAGTACCGATGTGAAATTAAGTATTTAGTAATATCTGTGAGGAGTGACCAAGGAAACGATCTAGATTCGGATCTGATCTTCTAAAATTCCTCACTCAGAAAGTGAAAGTAGGAAGACATTAAGGGTAACTAGAGAAGAAAACTGACGCAGAAATCCCCCCACAGCAGAAACCAACACCGACAAGCTCACACCTTCCCCTCAACTCTGGGCTCCCACATTTCTCTCCTGCCCATCACACAGAGGCAGTGTCCCCGAAGCCACACGGATCACAGCTGGGAAGACCGGATGGGAGGGGCTTCAGGTGAGCTGAACGTTCTCTCAGAAGTGAGGAAACCAGGGGCAGAGGGACTGTCACAAGCCCACGAGGACTCTGCAGACGAGGGGAGGCCGAATCTTCCTTGCGGAACCCACAGCATCCTGCCTCCCTCCATGACACGGATTGTCTCACTTAGCCCTGAAAAAACGGTCAGGGTTTTACAGAAAAAGGACCATGGCCGACGAATGAACACTCTCGAGTCTGATGTCGGTGGTTATCATGTAACTTCAACCAAGCTGCAGGCCTGGGACGGTCATTTTCCCTCCCTCCCTGCCTATCACCTCCTCCACAACCTACAACAGCAGCTATCTCTGTGGGACGAACACGCGGGCCAATGTTTACATCCTGCAAGAACAGGTGGTTCCATTTCTGTTGTTGTTAGGACAGAACGTAAACATGCAGAGAAGTAGAGAAGAGTCTAGCAAACCCCGTGTACCCACCACCCGGACCATCCCGCACCTTTCCGAGAAACCACGTGACCGCTCTGAACCACTCAGAGCTTTAGGAAGAAGCGGGTGGCCGAGCCATCCACGGCCGGGGCACTCCTGCTCCGCCACCACATCTCGCCCCCCCACCGGCGCCCCTCGTCCCGGTACCTGAATGTGCCTGCCTCCTGGAGAGCGTCCTGATTCAAAGCTTCCCTCGACACCCACGCCTTCACGTTGAAGAAGCCGTTCTCCTCCCGCTGCTCGAGGAGAGCACAGAGGCGCGCCTTGCACACCCGCAGGAAAGCGGCTGCAAAAGAGCAGAGGAGCCGAGTCCTGGGCATGTCCCATGGGCACTCGTGAGGGGCCGCCCGCCTGTGTGTGACCCCGGGGCCCTGCACCTTTCTCCGCGTCATCCTCATTCAAGAGGCCGAGAAGAATCTCCACTCTCCGCGTGCCGCGCGGGCGGCCCTCCTGGTCCCTGAGCATGCCCACGGCACCCTGTATGCAGCTCTGCAGCAGGCTGGTGGTGTCCACAATCTGCACGTGTATGGCGGGGACGGTAAGGCCTCCTGGCCCCGCAGCCCGCCCCGTCCCTTTGAGGGCCACTGCGGGGGGACTCCACCTTGGGGAACCCTGCCCTGGTCTTGGGCCTCTACTCCAGGGGTGAGGGGGAGGCCACCTGCAGGGTAGCCTGGCCTTCCGGGAGGCCCAAGAACGAGAAGGAGCCAGAACTCACATTACTCCTGCCTCGCTCAGAGCCTTCGGTTCCCAAGCCCGCCTCTGCCGCCTCCCCTGACCCTGCAGCCTGGGTTTCCTCTGCCTCCTCCCGGCCGTCTCCGGCCCCGCTTCCTGTCTCCGCTGCAAGAGAAGCACAGGCAAGCTGCTGGGGACAGGAGTGGCACGTGGGCTCTCCCCACAGGCCTCCTGGCCCCTCGCCCCCGCTGCAGGCCCCACAGGAGAGGCCACGGATCACGTAGGCTGGCCTCTGACCAGCCCCGTCTGTGTGGGCCACCAGCGGCAACCCTTCCTCCCGTCCAGGGTGCACAGCGGACACGCAGCCCCGGTGACCAGGGTGTGACACGTGGCAGAGACCCCCACCTCACAGCCTGCCGCGTCCACGAAGACCCGCTTTCCCATGTGGGACTCCTGGCCAGTGCCTGGCCCTCACGGGACAGCAGGGCACCTCCCTGCACCCCTGGCTGCCACTCCTACCGTCCCACCTACATTCCCAAAGGCTTCCTCCCGACTTACACTCAGGGTTCTCTTCTGGCTTAAAGAGCTGGCTGATGGCCACATCCTGAAACTTAGTCACGTCTGAAACCATGACCGTGGACTTCCGGAGATCGTCAATGTGCACAGACTGCCACAGCCCTGTGGGAAGTAAAAGCCACCTGGAGTCTCCCCATGCCTTTCCTGGCGTCCTCTTGTCGGCCACAAGCTGTTTCAGTACACTGCTGCTCAGTGACGTGTGCCCTGATGCCCAAAGCCTGGAATCCATGCAGAAACCACCTGGCTCTGTGTCTACGCCAGTGACCAAAACGTGAACATCGGTCGTAAGAATGAAGAGAACTGCCTTTGTGTAAAGGATATCTGAAGGTCTCTGAGTCTTCTTACATTTTGTATTATACTTGCTGCGTCACAGTTAGTAAAGGGTGTGGGAAACTGGCAAGACGTGCCTCCCATTCTCTAAACTGTCATTTGCCAATTTCTAGAACACCAATTTTCTTAACATATTAGTTGGTTTAGTTCTTAGAAGAAAAAGAGAGAGAAAGAGGTTTAAGAGAGCATTTCCCTCCCTCCAGAAACAGGAAGAAAGTACTGGCGCTTCTGTAACAGGACCAGCCGGCAGGATCTTCTCTGGGTTGTCTGTGTTACAAGGGACAAGGACCCAGAGAGGCCAATCAAGTGTTTATCTACCGGTCTATAAAGGGGATGCCGTACGCTGGAGCAGCAAGTCCAGACATGAGTGTTTCCCGCGGTAACCACTGGTAAGAAAGCTCACCGAATCTGAAACGAGTATTGCTGAGATTAACATCAATGTTCGAATTCCAGACTTGTACACCATGGGACCAAATTAGAAAGATCTCAGACATGATCTAAATAAGCATTTTCACTAACATTTTCATCCTACCTCCATGGAATCCCACGTAGGATGCTCCACTTCCCATCCGGGACAGTTTTGTGATAAAATAGACCAAGATGCAATCCTTATTGCCTTGCATCTTGTTGATTTCATTTATGACAGAATACCTATTTTAAAACAAACAAGCAAAGACAAAACAAAAAAAACAAGCAAATAAACAAAACCAAAGTCGTGAAGCGGCTGAAGGGTGTCCTATGAGTGGTCGTGTTCAATCTCGTGTCTTTTTAGCTTTACATAAATTTCTTCTTTTTTTTTTTTTTTTAAGATTTTATTTATGTGACAGAGAGAGACTGAGCACGAGCAGGGGGAGTGGAGGAGGGAAAAGGAGGCTCCCTGTTGAGCAGGGAGCCCAATGCGGGGCTCGATCCCAGGACCCCAAGATCATGACCTGAGCCGAAGGCAGACATTTCACCGACTGAGCCCCCCAGGTGCCCCGAGATAAATTTCACACCCTCATGCTCACGGTCTCCTCTCATGAGAGAAGGAAGGCAAGCTCTGTCCCAACAGGTACATTTTCTTCCCCACTCCTGTGTCCCTCTGCTTCGAAGTGCCCTCTCCTTATTGACCAGGAGCCCTGTCCTACAACCCTCGATGGGTAAGGTTAGCTGAACTGTCCATCCTGAGAAGCAGGATTCTGTGAACCCACAACCATGCTATGAAATATGGCTTCCAATGCCTTCAGAGGCCCAGAAATCATCTTTCCCCTAACTTAATGAGAACACAGCTAATTCTAAAAATACCAAACCTCTGCTATTTACTAATACTGTAAAAACGTCCAATAAATACAAATGAAAGCTTTTACATACTGATTGCTCTTGAACTTGCAATATATTCAAATTGTATAATTTAACACCAGTAATTACCAAGACATGTCTGCAGACAATACATTCCTAGGATATTCTTTCATATCCTACTAATAATCTATTATTTACACCTCTTGACATTTTACCATTTTTGCCTTGTTTTAGCCTTTTCTCTAACCCCTTATCTGTGAGGAATGAAAAGCAAGAGTCCTTTTATTTTTATTTCTTTGTTTATTCTAATACCATACTGTTTTCAGGGAAGAAATTCTTTAGGAACTCCTGAATAAAATTTGAGCTTTCTGGGTAGTTTCTGAGAAAAATAACAAAAACATACTTAGCCGAAGCGATGAGCTGAGCACTACGGACTCCATCTTCAAAATCCGTTTGAATAATAAGGATTTTACATCTGGCTATGTTAGTTAAGCATTTTCTGAAAGAAAAAGGAAATTGTCTGCCCTAAACAATGGGTGATAAAATTCCCCAGAGTGATGGGAAATATGAAGGAATTTATTGGTGTGGAATCACTCTGGCGGGGTTCTCCTCTATGCGAGTGGAGAGCACACAAACTCCAGTAAGTACTTCCCTAAGACAAGGACGCCCATGCAGAAGGCAGTAGAGACGGGGCACAAGGAGAATGGGACACCGTCTTTCTCCATCACGTGTCCTCGGTGTTCACTAACCAGGGCTGGTGCCAGAACCAGTGATCCCTGAAGTCATGCACGTGAAGCACAGAGCGGTCAGCGCTGGGGGTGGAGGGGACACAGAGGGAAAGGGGGAAGCCTCACTGGACTTCTCTGAGGAATGAGCTCTCGGTGTCAAACTGCTGCAGAGACAGGACTGTGGGCCTCAGAGCTCCATCCATTACTTCTGATTCCAAACTTTTACAGTCACGGCTGGTCAGCAGTCTGGAGAAAGTGGTGATCTGCAAAGTCAGGAAATGCTAATTATTTGCTAGAATTCAAGGAAGGTTGCAGGTCGGCTGGGATTAGAAACATGAGAATGTTGAGCAAATATCTTCTATGGGCCCAGCATGCACTGTGCATTTGGTACACAGAAGAGAATCCAAACCCAGAGGAGTTTTAAAAAAATGAGGCAGTGTTGAGGCAAACAGAACCTATGAAATCAAAAGGTATCGGAGAGAAGACTCATCCTGTCCCCAGGTGCCTTCAAATCTCCTCAGACTCCAGTGTCTCTTCCTGCCTGGCCCCTCCTAGAAATTCTGATGATCCCTTAGGGCTCAACGCAAATGCCATTCCTCCCTCCTGGTCTTCTGCATACTTCCAGATGGAGTTCAAATGGACAGTGCTCCTTCTGCCCCACAGTTATGACCAATTCTCCTGTAACACTGGATCACACCCCCCCACACACACACAGAGTAAACCAAAACACTCCTTATGGGCGTGCAGATATCATAGCTCCTGAACCCCTAACTCCAGGCTAGCCTTGCCACTGAGCTTCTGATTCCTATATCCAACTGCATGACAGATGTGTCTGCCTGGATGCCACAGGGGCATCAAAGTCTGTCCCAAATGGAATTTACCACCAATATTTGTGGCTCATTCCTGGACTATAATTAACCAAACCTCCAGTCACCCAAGGAAGAATCCAGGAAACCATCCCTAGACCCCTTCGTCTTCCACAGCCCCCAAATGGAGTAAGTCATTAGCTCTGCCGATGCACATCCTAACTATTTCTCGGTTCCCTCTACCCGCTCCTCTACTTTGACTGAACTGGTACAGCAGCCTCCCTCCCTGTTTCTCTGTGGTAAGTCTTTTTATCAGGCTTTCTCCTCCCTCTCCCAGGCAACGGGACACACCTCAATATGCATTCCTCTATCCCTCCCCTCTTGACGGCAGACCTCGTCAGCACCGCTGATCAGACCCTCCATGAAGTCCCTCCAGTGGCATCTCACCCCCATCTCTTGGCCCTTGCACCCTCGAGCTTCACGCTGCCTGGCGACCGGCTCCTGGTTTCCGGCAGAGACGGCACTGTTTCACACCTCGACGCCTTTGCTCAAGTAGGAACCTCTGCCTTTGCTGCTTTCCCAGCCGCATTTCACAATCTACTTGAGGGTCCTCTGACCTCGAGCTCTCATGGGCAGTGCTCCTTCCTGCCCCTACGGATAGCACTGCTGTGTGATGCCAATGGCATTTGTTACGAGCCTTGCACCGCATGCTGACCAAGGCCAAGAACCGTGCCAAGGCATTCCTATATCCTTGGTGCCCTCAGCACGGTACTCAAATGTGTCACTTCATTTGCCGAAGTGAACACTGTATATAATTTTACTACCGGCACAGAGCTCTGCACAGAAACAGGCACTCAAAACTTGCTTTCGTTGAATTTTTGTGAATATCTGGGTTTCCTCGCACTTAGTGGAGAAAAACTAAAGTCTCAACATACCCATTTATGACTTCTGAACACTGGCTTGAAAAGAATCCTGAATTCTTGAAACGAGGGATGCCAAGGGATGAAGGAGGACAAGGGTAAAATTATTATCACCTCTGTGAAGACGACACGGCGTTCCAGATCCACGGTGCGAAGCTGAGCCTGGAGGAAGTCTGCAAAGGAGTCATGCTGCTGTCTGTGGTAGTATTCCTGCGACAGGGACTGCACGGCAAACAGGCCCAGGGAGGTGGCACCCAGCCGAACCACCGCGTCCGGCGTGGAACAACCCAGGAGCAGCAACTTGGCCTCCTCGGACACCTCCTGGTACAGCTCCTCGGTCAAGGGGCTGCGACCCCGCCTCTCGCTGACCTGGAGCACCACAGAGGCACACGCGTCCGGGTGGTAGCCAATGAAGACTTCAGAAGGGCTGTATTTGTGTCTGGCTACAAACTGCTCTGCTTTCACATCTACAAATCTCTCCACCCAGCTCTTGAGCTCTTCTACGATATTTTTCTGCCACTTCTCCAAAACGGTGTTGATATCCAGATAGTGTTTCTCCAGCCGGTTAATGAGAGGGATGGGAAAATGTTTGTAGACAACGTCTTTCTCTTCAATGACTATCAAGCGGAAGTCTGGGTGAACCCGACATTTGACCCGATGGGTCCCCAGACCAAGGTCCACGTACTTCTGGCCTCCGAGGTAGACATAGTACTGATTGAGCGCATCGTAGAGGCTCTCGTAGAGGCTCTGTAGGTTGAGCAGCACCACCATCTTGCCAGTTTCCATGCAGATCTTCACTCGGTTGATATTTCTGCAGACCTGGGTGTACTCTTGGTCCCTGGGAAAGCTGGAACCGAAAATGATCTCTGGCTGCTGGTGCTCCCTGAAGAACGTCTGCTGCAGGACCTGCAGGGCCGAGTAGTTTCTGGTCAGCACAAGCAGGTAGCGGGACTCAGAGTCATCCAGCTCCTTGCCTGACACCTTCTGAAGGTCACTGTACATGTTCTGCTGGATCAGCTGCATGGTGCTGACTTCTTCTGAGCACTTCGCCTCAGGTAAATTGGCTGTAAAAATCTCCAGAGCATGGATGTCATCTTTGCCACTGAAGTTCCGAAGGACAGCTTGTGCAATATCTCGTGGGTAGGGCTCTCTATTAGAAGCCTTTGCCTTGGCGAAGACCATTTTGATTAGGCTATAGTAGTCACGAAGCCCAAAGAATTCCTTGTCTTGCTTCTGACACACTGTTTCATAGGCTCTGGCAAAGGGTGCAAAGTACCCTTGGACTCTTTGTTGAACTAGGGGCTCTGAAGAGCAAATCCCCTTAGCACTCTCTATGAGCTCTTTCTTGTTGGGACTGCCGCGTGACACAAAAATACCCCGGTTCATCTTGGCAGGGTCCAGGGCCCAATTGGAAATGCCTATGAAGCCAACCTTTTTGTGGGGGGCAGGATCATCTTCAATGCATCCGTATTCCAACAGCGGGTGCAGAGCCTTCAGGGGCATTTTAGGCGAGTCTTCCGCCAGTCCAACCTCATCCAACACCACCACAGAGACGTACTGCTGTAGGTCCTTCCCCTGCTGGAAGCGGGCACACTGTCTGAAGGTGCTTATGATGCCTTGGGGGGTAGAGTGTGGGCTGCACTGGAATGATACCAGATGGACCTGCTTCAGGCTCCGGAAGAGGTCCGAGTGAGCTGCCGGGCCTTGCATGGCATCTGCCACGATGGTCTTGGCGAGAGATTTGGAGCTGCCGGGCTTCCCCACCAGGAAGAGGGGAATCTTCAGCTCAATGCAGATAACCATCATGAAGACATTCTCCTTCAAAGCTGAGTTCTTAGCAATGGTTTTCCTTAAAGACACACCATTTAGAAAAAGACCCTGTGTTTGAGTTATCTCCTCCAGAATAACCTTGCTGTCATTATATGGTTCTGGAAAGAGCCTGCAAATGTCTCTCCAGTATGACTCCTTCTGTTCCAAAGAGGCATGATAGCACACCCCGAGGGCTAGCACCAGGGACCAGAGGACAGGATCTCTCTCCAAGTTGTTTTTGCTGACGTGGGACTCCTGGAGAAAGGAATCCAGCTTTGACAGGAGCATCCTACTGTGGCTGTAAAACCATTTGAACACTTGGACGCAGCGCTCCACGTCCCTGAGGCTGACAAAGCTGCACTCGTTTACTGTCGTCCTCATGAAACCCTGAGAGGCAGAAAGCACTTCTGTGATCATGCGAGTCTCGTCTTCATCTATACCGATGGAGTCCACCAGCCTCTGCACAATCTGCTGGATGTAGAGCTTTTCGGCGGTGTTATTCAGCTGTCCGAAATCCCACACCAGTGGGATCAGGCTGGGTGGCAGAGCATGCACTCGGTACACCAGCTGCCTCAGGGGGATGGAGCCAAGCCTCTCCGCCGTGTCCTCGGCATTGACCCTGTACCCCAAACCGGCCGACTCCAAACGGCAGATCATCCCCTGTGAGTGCTTCCGGTAAGGGTTGCACGCCGCTATGATATGCAGGCCCGAGTCTTTGGCCAGGGGCCGGCCGCCCACTGTACGATCGCACAGGACTTCCTTGATACAGCTTATGGCTTCGGTTGTATTGGCTTCATCGAAGAACAAGATGGTGTCCAGCTGATGTCGGTCCTTATTGAAGAGAGCAAGTTTCTCTGCCTCCCGGACTTTGGAGTAGATCATCTCTGCAGTGGTTCCTCCATGGACCTTGACCAGCTTCATGGTTTTAGCTTTGGTACCCCCGCGTCGCAGGTCGCTGAGGAATTTAATGAGCCTGGTTTTCCCGCAGCCAGTCTCTCCCATGATGATGACGGGGATCCCACACCGGAACCGCATCTCAATGGCAAGGATCTTCAGCATATTGTCCATTGTGAGCTCGTAAGTTTCATCAGGGTCCATGGGCCACTGGATCCCCAATGCCAGGCAGAGCTTTACAAGTTTCTCATGTCTGGGCAGCTTATCAAAGTCAACATTGAAGGGCACCTTCTGGAGCAACAGCCCCCGGTACAGTTCCATTCCCATGACATCTTTCTTGATCACCCTCCCACCGGAGAGATCGACGGCGTCAAGGCTGCCACTCCCATTGGGCTGGATGTGGAAGCCTATGAAGGTCATGGACGTGTGGTCACCATTGAAGAACACATACGGGTGAGGCTCTGACTCCCATCTCTTCCGGAGAGTGAAAGGGGCTAGGTCTTCTTCCCTGACCCCGTCCATGGTGACGGTGTGCCTCCCTGGGCTTTGATCGGATGTATGAAGTGTCGGTGTGGCGAAATCTCTTGCCATGAAGATCATGAAGGTGACCACAAAGTTCTTGAAGCCTTGCAGTGTGTCTCCAATCACGTCTGGGTTACAGAAGAGGGAGGCCTCACAATCTCTAAGCTGATAATTCAGGAACCCAGCAAAGTTCCGTAGCTCTGACCAGGACGGATTTATCAACCCGCAGTAAATTAGGAAATACTGGAGGCATTCCCCAGGGGTGCCTTCCACGGAGCCTTCCTGGTACCGAAACGTGTCTAGGTTTTGTTTCTCATGGAACCGTTTCAAATATTGGTAAGGCCTCTGGAAAGTCTCGCTGCAGAACACTCTCTGATCCATCCCTGGATCGCTGTAGTTCTCTTTAGGATTCAGCTCCATGTCTATCACTTCTTTGGGAGGCCGGCAGGTGACTTTTGGGAAGACATCGAGAAAACTGAAGTGGGGGGTGTGTGTACTCTAGAAAGCGGAGACATAAATAAAATGGTTATGACTTCACTTCCTAAAAAAGCTTCTGCATTTAATCCTCCACGCGATCTACACTGGATGGACCCTTTTAAGCACCCACTTTCCATAAATTGGTTTCTGTGGACTCCGTTGTGCACAGGCTGCTCTCCTGTATGTTGAGGGATCATGGGAGCTACCTACTCCACCGTTAGGTCCTTGTCACCCAACTTCCCGAAACAAAATCTCTACTAAGCACGCGTGTTTGTGTGCATGCGTGCACAAGGTTCCCTTTCGTTAAGAAGTGTATATGACAAGAGCCTCTTTCCCATCTTAGCTGGCATTAAGAAGGACGGACTGTGCCCAGCAGATTTACCATGTGCCGAGCACCTCTGGCATCTCACCCAAATAGCATCAATCCCAAATCGAACAAATCAAACTCAAGATACTTCTAACTAGTAAGAGTATTTCTATTCCAGGCATCATTAAAAAATAACTGTAAAGATTATTTATCTTTACTACCACGGCAGCCAGTGGGTTCACCGAGGAGAAGTGGGGAGTGCTGGAACAGACACGTGAAGAGGCCCTGGGGTACACACCTGTCTTGAAGGCCTCTTGGGCAGCGCTGGAGCCCTTTCCAGGATTTCAATGATGTATAAATGGCATGAGTTCCGAAACCACATTTTGCCATTTACATCCATTAGGTACCGGAGAATGAGGAGTTTGAAAATGAACACCCAAAGTCCAGTCTGCACCTAGAGACAGAATCACGTGGCTTTGTTAGCACATACACAGAAGACGAGGAGATCTCCCAACCCTGAGGACCGCAGTACTCTGTCCTTGGACACGGTGATGCTGAATGTCACACACACAGAGGGAATTCTTGATACGGGGAGGAGGCAGGGTGGGACATGGGGGCCACTCGACTGAAATCCTGGGGCACGTACTGAAGAGGTCACATCGAAGTGGAAGATCGTGGGTCTCGTCCGGCCGTCAGCCTCCAGGAAAGGCAGGAGGGCGTGCAGAACCTGGCTCTCATCCACCTGAGGGTCGATTAGTCGGATCACCTTTAGGGGCACTTTTTTGCCTCTAAGCTTCATTTTCAGTTTTCCATGTAATCTCTCCACATAGAGAGACTTTCCTATAACATTAAAACATGGAAATCAGTGGGTTAAGCGTCTGACTCCTTGATTTCTACTCAGGTCAGGATCCCAGGGTCTTGGGATCGAGCCCCACGTTGGGCTCCTCGCTCAGCGCTGAGTCTGCTTGTCCCTCTCCCTCTGCCCCTCCCTCCGTGCTCTTCTCTCTGTAATAAATAAAATCTTAAAAAAATGAAACAAAATAAAATATGGAAATTAGGTGCCAGGGCTGTGGACCAGGAATGAGAGAATCCAGAAAGATTACAAGTCATTTCTCTACGCAAAATTCAGAAGAGAAGCAATGTAACATCACGTTAAAGAATACACTTTTGAACCCTCAAATTTCCTTGCTGCTGCCTGCTCACTCTCCTTGCCATCCCCTGGGATGGATGGTGGCAATCCGAATCGAAGGACAGAGGCTGTGCCACCCCCTTCCAGGGGAGGGGAGGTGCAGGTTTTCCATGCAGAGAAGGTTGTGCTGTTAAGGGGATAAAGTCAAAAAAGGGAAGTCAAGGGGCATCTGTTTCTTCCCAAGACAAAGCAATCACACCTCCCTCTGCCCGCAAGACCCACATCAACCCTGAAGTGGCCAACGGAGTTTAAAAGAGAAGGAGTTTCAGAGAAGCCTACCTAGAGGAAGGTGAACTGAGCGTGAAACCCAGGGAGAAAGGGTGTCCCGTTCCAGCACAGGCCCCGACTTACAGCCTCAGAGAATCAAAGCCCCCCCGGGACTCAGTTTCCCCCCCTACAGAGGGCTCCACCCGAGTCGCCCCTGCTGGACAGGGAAGGGCTGTCAGATGGTCCCTGGGACCCAAGGGGCCCACCCACCCCAGGAGCTGTCATTACCAACGCCCGCTCGCTTGGAGGCCACGATCCCCACGCACATCCGGTCCCGGAACACGTCGGCAGCCGATGGCGTGTGCTCGGGGGCCTGGAAATGCCGAGCCAGGTAGGCCCGGATGTCCTGGAGGGGCGCCTGGGGGGTGACGAGGACCTTGTACTGGCTGAAGGCCGAGGGCAGGTGGCAATGTTCCCGCTCGGAGTCACAGATCATCACCAGCTGGAAGTCCTCATGGTGCAGCTTCGAGCACAGGCTCAGGAAGAGCGCCTCCACCTGGCAGGCCACCTCGTAGCTCAGCAGGTCTGCGTACAGCAGGCTGTAGAGCCCCTGTCCCCGGGAGCCTGGGGTCAGGCAACGGAGCAGGAGCAGTGCCACTTCCTCAAACGTGGTTCCCGGGGTGCAGAGCAGCACCTCGTCGAAGGTGGGCAGCGGCTGGTGCGGGGTTTGCATGTAGATGGCCAGGGCAGCCGACAGCACCTCAGAGTGGCCACAGACGAGGAGGTTGGGCTGGCCGGCATGCAGGCCGCTGGGGAGGAGCCGCTCCACAGGACGTCCGCTCATCCAGCCCAGCAGGGCCAGACAGCGGCCGAGGGTCTCCAGGTCCAGGCAGTGAGGCAGGAAGGCGCTCATGCACGCCATCGACTGCTCCATGACGGCCCTCAGCTTGCCCTCCAGGCTCAACTCATGCAGGAGCATCAGCCGCAGCCCCTCGACCACCGCGCTCTCGTGCTGCCCGGCAGCCTCACTGTCGGGCCCCTCGAGGGCCTTCGCGACGTCCTTCGGGGTGCAGTTGCCTTTGATGAAGGACAGCATGGTGAGAGCAGCGTTGCTGGGCGGCTGTCTCTTGAGCTCTGTGCTCAGGTACACCAGCTGCTCGGCGGTGTAGTAGTTGAGATAAAAGTGCTTGGCCCGCTTCTCTGCCACGAAGCCCTTCCAGTGGTCCAGGAAGTGCTCCATCTGCCTGCTGATGGCCTCCAACAGCTCGGCCACTGGGCAACTGCCCTTGAGCGGGCTTATGGGCTCCAAGCCGAAGTCCATCCAAACGGAGACGCCTTGCCAGGGGGAGCAGTACACCTTGGCATGCCAGGCCCTGAACAGCATGTTTCCAGCACAGTAAAGGTTGATGAAAGCTTGGACAAGCCTCTGCACATTGCAGAACACCTGTGGCAAATGGAACCAGGAGGCAGGTATCACAGAGCTGCGCCAGAGTTCATACAACCATCCAGAATGACACAAATGCAGATATGACTTGAAGTACTTGGGTTCATGTCTTTCCACTGGTTCCCTGTGTGGCCTTGAGCACACGGGGTAATCACAGAGGCCTTATTTCCCCATTTACATCATCAGCCTCCCAGAGGACTCTCTGGTAAGGCTAAAGGATGTCATCATAAAATACAAACAACCTTGAAAGAAAAAACCCGTAACAAAGTCCAGAGACTGTTACGTCATAAATGGATATTCCTTTATCAACATGGTCACTTTTGATTTCAATGAAGAATAACTATGTAAATCTTTAAGTCTTTGTGGGTTCCTGCTGATTTACAGAGTGAGCGAAGCAAGAGGAGTCTCTTTCTAAGACCTGCCCATGGGGTTATCTCCTCTGCGATTCGGAGGACTCAGGACAATTCGGTCTGTGCATCTTAAGAAGGGACTACCGACCAAAGGGCCTGTTGGAACTCAGATGTCTCTTGGGGTCAGGAATTGGGGTGATTGCATTCTGCCCACCTGCTGGCTCCCCGCTCCATGGACTTAAAGCAGAATGCTTCCTATCAACTAATCCAAACTCAAACCCTTCTGACTTTCTCTGGTCACTGGGCAGTGAGAGTCCTCTGCCCAAACATGAGCTCATGACATCTGCTTGGCCCCAATGTCATCACGAGTTCTCACCTTGGAAAATACCTCTACTTGAACGTTGCTGTGATCTTTCTTGCCAGACATCAGCATCAATTTGTTCAAAAGCTCCCTGAGGTCTTCCAAAGAGTAGACTCGCACCTCCTCACGGCCTCCATGGCTCTCGGGCAGGAGCAACTGCAGAACCGTGTCTGGGGAGATCTGTGGAACTGTGTATGCTCAGAGGTCGTTTTTCTGGAGGCAGAACCCCCACCCCCACCCCACTCTGCAGCAGCCTGCACATACTACTGCTAGCTGTGCCAGGAGGCAGGGAGGCTCACCTTTTGGCCATCCTTGGGGGCCCGGATCTCATAGATGCCTTTGTCATTGATGGCCGTTGCCAATGACAGGGAAGAGAGTTCTACTGACCCGTGACTTTCCTTCACAGTTTTCAGCCACTCCAAGTTCCTGGCAGAGTCACGCTGTTGGGACAGGAGGGGAAACAGGCCACGGTGTGAGCGACCTTCTTTCTCTTCTTCCTGTGGCTACTCCGTCTCTGCTCCCATGGGGCAAGCCCCCCGTCCCCATCTCCTGCCCGCAGGGGAGGCCTTCCTCACCCACTGCCCTCTCGTTTATCCCTCTCAGTCGCTGTCCCACAGTGTTGCACTTTATGTAATGGGCTGTCTGTGTCCCTCCCAGTGGCCACTGCCCTGGCGAGCACATGGGGGCACGTGGATGGAATGGTGGGAGGGCTTCGTGCTGCCGGGCCCCTAGGCAGGGGTAATGCTGGACAGAGCAGAGCAGTGCGGCCTTACATTCTAAGTATGCGTCTGGGGACCCCAAGTCCAAATGGAAGCACTTGGAGAAACTACAACAAAGACTTTTTGTTCGGACATAAGCTTCCGGCAGCAGGAATGGAGCCACCTCTACCTGGTCCTTTTGCTTCTCCTTTCCTCCCTCACCCTCCAGTGGATCTGGCGGACATCACTTCTGCGCACTAGCCACGCGACACAGGATGGGTCTGCTCGGACCCCGGTGCAAATGGTTTACTCAAACTAACATGTTCATTCATTTTTCTGATAAAAAATTAATTTACAAATGGATAGGGGCGCCTGGGTGGCTCAGTCGTTAAGCGTCTGCCTTCGGCTCAGGTCATGGTCCCAGGGTCCTGGGATCGAGCCCCGCATCGGGCTCCCTGCTCTGCGGGAAGCCTGCTTCTCCCTCTCCCACTCCCCCTGCTTGTGTTCCCTCTCTCACTGGGTCTCTCTCTGTCAAATAAATAAATATTTTTAAAAATTTACAAATGGATAAAAAAGATGTGGTCCAAATATACAATGAAATATTACTCAGCCATCAGTAGGGATGAATACCCAACTTTTACATCAACATGAATGGGACTGGAGAAGATGATGCTAAGTGAAATAAGTCAAGTAGAGAAGTCAATTATCATATGGTTTCACTTATTTGTGGAACATGAGGAACAGCATGGAGGACATTAGGAGAAGGAAGGGAAAAACGAAGGGGGGGAAATAGGAGGGAGAGACGAACCATGAGAGACTATGGACTCTGAGAAACAGACTGGGGGTGTTAGAAGGGAGGGGGGCGGGGGGATGGGTTAGCCTGGTGATGGGTATTGGGGAGGGCACGTACTGCATGGAGCACTGGGTGTTGTACGAGAACGGTGAAGCGTGGATCACTACATCAAAAACTGATGATGTACTGTATGGTGACTACATAACATAAAATAAAATTAAAAAAGAAAATTAATATACAGTGGTGCCTGGCTGGCTCAGTCTGTGGAGCATGCAATTCTTGATCCCAGGGTCCTGAGTTCAAGCCCCATGTTGGGTGTAGAGGTTATTTAAAGAAATTTAATTTATACCAATTGTGGGAAACATGGAAAGTACCAAGAAATATACAGAATTTTTTTTTAAGATTTTATTTATTTATTTGAGAGAGAGAATGAGAGAGAGAGAGAGAGAGCACATGAGAGGGGGGAGCGTCAGAGGGAGAAGCAGACCCCCCACTGAGCAGGGAGCCCGATGCGGGACTCGATCCCGGGACTCCAGGATCATGACCCGAGCTGAAGGCAGTCGCTCAACTGACTGAGCCACCCAGGCGCCCAAGCAATATTAAGTAACACCACCATTCAGAAAAAAACACTGGTCATATGTTAGTCTTTTTTCCATGTGTGTTTTGCACGGTGGAAATTGCTCTTATTTACGTGAAATTTTGAATCCTACTTTCTAACGTAACAAGGGAAAGAAAGCATTTCCACATACGAAGGAAAACTGGTTTTAAACATCATTTTAACACGTGCCACACAGGTGGGGTGACTTGCAGTCCTGCCCCTCGCGATGCCGAACAACCCGGTGTGCAGCTTTGTGTGCTTGGTTGGATGAAGCCAGAAGGGAGACTTACCAGTTTATAGGGCAGGTGCAGGTCATTCTCCAGGGCCTTCCACAGTTCTTCGAGATGCATCATGAACTCGTCAAATCCTGCACTCACATCCAGCTTATACAGCAGCGATGCATAGCCCTGCACGGCGTCGTGGAAACAGGCCACCCGGTCCACGTCGATGTCATTCTCCCCCGCGGAGATAGAGGCCAGGTCCACAAATACCTTCAGCTCGTTGATGCCTTGGGGCGAGGAGAGACAGGTGAGCACCTGGGGGCTCCAGGATGATCCCACACTCAGACCTCAAACAAGAACACTTAGGCTATAAATGGATAGTGATGGATTTTTAGGGTCTGATCCACTTTCTGCTTTTAGTACAAATCTGGGGCCGTGTTTCCTTTGCTGTTGATGTTGACACCACTGGCCAACGCCTGGTTTTACAAAGCAACAGCAACATCCGGACACGGCACAAGGCTTCTGTGCACTTTGTCGCGTATAAGCCACACAACATCGCTGTTTAATACAAAAAGAAATGGGCTCAGCTGGTAAATGCTATGTTGACATTAACTACAAAGAAATGGAGGTAATTCTCTTTGGGCTACTTACTGATCAAAGGATGTGCATCAAAGTGGGCCAAGGAGGCCACAGTCGAAAGTACTGAGCATCCGGATGAGAGACAGCACCCCCTCCCTGCATACCAGTAGGCCTGCCGCCCCTTTCCTGCTTCTTCCACCTGTCTTTCTTACCTCTCCTCCCCGCCGTGCAACCCCTCTGCCAGAGGCAGGACAGAAAAGGCTTCCAAGCTCTTGGCCAAAAAAAGAAGTGCACATAACACTGATGAGCTGATGTAATGAAATCTCTTCTGTGGACAAGAGCTTACCTTATTTTCTAGTTAAAATCAACCAGGGGAAAAAGCTAAAGGGGACAAGATTTGTAAGAAAATGATACCCAACTGTTCACAGCAAGCCTCCAGAGTGGGAGCAAAAAGTAGCCAAGGGAAGTTCTTATGCTGGAACATATGAAATACTGCCCTGAGGCCCATTCTACCAACGATCGAGGAGGCACACACTGCACAGCTACGGAAGGGATGCAGACAGCACGTCTGTTCTCTACACAGCTCGTGATCAAGGGGAGGGACTGCCTGTAAGTTTATGGAACCCCCCGTGAGCCATCTCAACACTCTCTCCCGACTCCCAGCAACCTCAATGACCAGCTGTACCTCCGAGAGCCTCCCGGACCCAGCTGATGAACTCCTTGCTCAGGGACAGCTCACTCAGACACTGGGACCGGGTCTCACTGATGTCCTGCAGCAGCTTGTTGGCATGGATAAGCTGCTTGCTGATCCGCTCCAGCTTCTCATGGTGATAGACATCAAAGTTGTCAGTCTGCAAGACAGAGCTCTACTGTGGGCTGGACCTGGTTACCTGGAACCCTGGAGTCCAAGCAGCAGCACTGACCATCCCAAAGACCCCGTCCCACTCTTCCTGGACTTGCAGCAGCTAAAGGCAGGTGCACGAAGCTCCTGACCGGGAGTTGGGACGCTAGAGCCCCCACTGCCGTCTCCCCATCGATCCACAGTAGCTACTATTCCTCCATACCTGGCAGTCCGCAAAGCAACTTACGCAAGAACTCTGCCAGGTGCATATTGTTATTTTTCCTATTTTATGGGTAAAGAAGCGGAGGCCCAGAGCAGTGACCTACTTGAGAACACGCTGCTGGGATCTAAGCCTAGGTGTGCATAATTCCAAATGTTGTGCTAAATTTTCACCATCTTCACATCTACATCATCACATAGATCACGGGATACCTTGTAAATCCTCGCCTGAAGGAACACAAAGCAAAGTCCCTGCTTCCTCACCATAGCAGAGGCGGCTTACTGTGTACCACTCCTTGCCAGCACTAGCAGATGTGAACGCAGAGGGGGCAAAACAAACCCAGCTCCTGCCTCTCCAGCCTCTCTCTAGCCTGATGAAACCCGATGACTCATTCCAAATCCTTGGCTACCAGAAGAGGGTCACTGCACATTCCCAAATTCTTGTCCCTCATGGCCACCTGAGAAAATGCTCACTCGCCAGGAGTGCGTGCGCTGCTTATAAACAGGTAGAAACGACGCCCTTGGCGTGATCAGGCATCCGGCGAGATGCAACAAGAACTCCTGGGGGAAGCTGTGAAACCATCCTGTCCAGCTTCCAGAACCCGGAGAGCCCATGGGAGCCCCCCCACCCCCCACCCCACGGGTCCCTGGCAAATAACTTACAAAGTTTAATAAAGTGTGCAGAACACCAAAGTCACCGGTCAGGCCCAAATTCTCCTTGACCTTCAAGATGACCTTGGCTGAGCTGACAGCCTGGTTCAGGTGATGGTACTCCCTGATCTGCCCAACGCGATCCCTGATCCAGTCCCGTTGGTCGCTGGGGTCCAGGACACACATAAGATGGAGTTCGGTGTCGAGGTGGCTATAGTTATTCACAAAGTCCTTGAAGGTGGTGTCGACCTCCTGAAAGGTGATCTCTCCTGACCTCAGATCCTCATATAGTTTCATAAACCTCTCGAAACAAGGGAGAAACAGATATCCATAGGCCTTCTCAGGCTGAAAAATCTGCCTTTCCAGCTCTTCCTCGGGCTCACTCAGCACTTTTGCGGCGTCTTCCCAGAAGACCTGGAAGATGTGGCTCTCCTTTAGCTGCTCCACCTTTTCGGCCATCTCCTGGACTTGGGGGCTCAGGTTGTAATGCGTTGTCCTCTTCACGTCCGGGGAGCTGGGTGACAACCTCACTGTCACGGCGTCCCTCAGTCTTTTACTGCCGAGATCTTCCAAGTGTCTTTCTGCCATCTCTTCCACATCCACTTTGAAACCATAAAGAACATCAGAAGTCAAACCTCTACTGGCCACACCACTGTATTTTATTTTCCACATACCTACTGTCCTTGCTGCTCATAAGAAAACTCACGTGAACACACTGGCTGGCATTTCTCCTCACTAAGAACCCATTTATCTCCCTACCAGCCCCCACCCAACTCCCAGCTTGTTCATGAATTTTCACAACAAAGCAAGCACGGTCACTTCTGGGCAGGGATGACAGCATGGACACTGTCTGCTTCACTCCCTCCCCACATCCCGCACTTCAGGGCCAGAACAGACATGGTCTTGGAAAAGTCATAAGCCAGCTGGGCTGGGAGGAGCAGAAAAGGGCGGCGGGGGGCGGGGGGGGCGGCGGGAGTTGAAAAGCAGATGTGCAGCAGTGGCCAAGGCCAAGCTGGGCCCCAGGACGTGGAACCCCAGCCCGCAGCAGGGAGGCTGGGAGTCAGCCAGGCTCCTGACACAGGATTCCCAGCAGCATACACACTGGTTGTATGGCTGCTGGAGGTAGGGAGCTGGTGAGGAAGTGAGGAGGCCTGGCTTGAAAGGCTGGAGAAGAGGTCCGACTTTCTTGCCCACCCCATTCTAGATAGCAGGCCAGCCGCCCTTTCCACACCAGCAAGGGACAGCTGCTAATGTGGAGGGTGCTCTGTGGCCACCAAGCTGGCTAGCCCCAGAGAAGACCTAACGTGTCCACCACAGGGCTAGCTGCACCACCCTCAGGGTCTTCCATGGGTTTGCTGGGTCCCCCTCTTTGTACAGACAGAAAAAGAATTCCCAGACATATGTGAAAAATCTTTTACATGAAAGACAGATATGAAAACATAGCAACATAAAGACGACTCGGAGGAAACCGGAAACTCTGGGAGTAAAAGACCAGGAAACCTCTAGGGGTGCCTAGGTGGCTCAGTTGGTTGAGCTCTAACTCTTGATTTCAGCTCAGGTCATGATCTCAGAGTCCTGAGATCGAGCCCTGTGTCAGGCTCCACACTCAGTGGGGAGTCTGCTTGGGATTCTCTCTCTCCCTCTGCTCCTCCCCCTGCTCTCTCCCTCTCAAGTAAATGAGTAAATCATAAAAAAAAAAAAAAAAAACAAGAAAGAACTCTAAACCAAAAATGCCAATAATCTCAGAAAAATAAGACACTACAGTTGTGAACAAGAACAGGATAGTATAAAAAAAGGTCATTCAGAGAAAAAGTTGCTCCCCTAAATCAAATATTCGTGTGAAGTGAAACGAAAAACACAATGGAAAGGTTGATGGTTATGTTGCAGAAATTTCTCCGAAAGCAGAGCGGAAACCAAAGAGACAGGCAACAGAAGAGGAAGTTAGGGAAGTTCGATGGCCACCCCAGGAGGTCTGGCACCCAACGATGTGCATTTCCATGAGAGAAAAAACTAACCACTTAAAGAACTCAGGAGAATTGCCCAGGAGTCAAGGATGTGGATTTCTGGACCAGAAAGACCCATCCCATTATGTCCAGTACAGTGGATGGAAACCAACCCTGACCAAGGTACATCATTATGAACTTTCAGAAGAGTGGGACCAAAAAGATCTGGAGAGCCTCCAGAGAGAGTAAGCATGCCACACACACAGGATCAATAGTGAGAATCGCATGTGAATTCTCAACAGCGACCGGGACGGTGCAGCAACATGTCCAAGATCCTGCAGGATTTCTGCTCTGTAATTCTGCCTGGCCCAGGCGTTACCCTGGCACAAGGGCAGACATCCTCAGATGCGCAAGGATTCGAGATGTGTTCCCTCTCTTGGGAGTGAGCAGGGGACAGAGAACTCGCTCCACTAAAACACAGGAGTGAAAGACAGGAGAATCACGGGGTCTGGGAAACAGATCTAACTGGGGAGAGATGTAAAGGAAACCCTTAGGATGGCGAAGGAAGATTCTAGAACTACAGCCCTCCAGTCTGGGGAGAATCCTTCTGGAAGATCTAACTGATTGTTCTGTAAGGAAATCCACACAGTTGGTAAAGAGCCAGGGGTTGAATTGAAAACAAAGCATAGGAGAAGACGGGAATTTTAATTCCAGAGACAACAACGCTGGTGCAAGAAACATAAAACAACGATGGTCTATTTCACGGCTTGGTTGTGAATGGTGTATTTACACAGACGTGATCATAGACCTGAATGGTGATCTGACTGAAACCCTGACAGGACCGAGAATGGAGGGAGGCTGGAAGGGGTGCGTGTGTGTGCGGGGCCTGGAGAAACAGAGACCCAGCCCTCATGTTCCACGGGGACTGATGCTTCAGCCTGAACGGTGAAGGGGACGTCTAGGTGCGCCATGCAGGGCCAGGGGGATAAATACCAAAAAGAATAAGGAGGTGCGTGCGTGTGACTTGCCTCCCCCGAGGCTGCCGTGTGACTCGTGTTCACTGTCTGGTCCTCTGACCCTTCCCCCCTGGGGGTCCCTCAATGTCGTTTGTGTTAACTCTTAGGAGTATCACCTTTTATCAGATGTTTCACCTGCTCACACAACCTCAGGAGACTGTCCACACATGTCTTCTCTCTCTTCAGAAATTTCAGCTCATCCTTTCTCCAGTCCAGCACTTCCTTCATGTTGTGCTTTTTCTCTTGGGGTAAAAGACCTTTTCTCTCTGGAAGAAAAAAGGAACCCAGTAGAACAAACAAGCAGAGCCTTTTCCGTGCAACTGTCTCCTCCACATCCCTTTGAAGATGCTCCACGTTCACGGCTACGGGGAGGGACAAGGGGGCTGTGTGCACAGCCACACGGGCAAGATGCCTATGAGCTCGGCCGCGTGGAGAGAGACAGAGCGGGTCTTACTGCGTCACCATCTTCTCACTTTCCCACTGTTTTCCGGAGCATTAGAAACCATCCCCTCTCCACTTACTGACAGGAAGAGCCACTCATCGTAAAGATGACAAATGTCTCCCCTCTACAAAATACACAGGCAAGTGCAGTCATTGCCCACTAACCTGAAGCCCAGACCCCACTCGGATACTTACTTATCTGCCAGATTTCCAGAAACCGATCTGTGCACTTCGTGATGAGCTCCAGTTGTCCAACTAAAATGGTGCCATTCAGGAGGTCCCCACTGACTTTCGTGAACACAGAGTCGGCGATAGCCAACAGCCTCTTGCTGTCCTCAGTAACACTGGCTAATATCTTCTCATTGGTTCCTGATGAGGTGGATAACAGAGTTAAAATGGTGGGTGCCCGCTTCTCCCCCCGATTCTGAGAAGCACGGGGGTCGGTCCCCAACTGCCTCCTCATTGTTCTGCCCCCACTTCCACACAAGACAAGTGAAGGTCACTCTGTGTCTCCAGATGTGCTTCTCCCTTCACTCGATTCTGCTTTTGCCTGGAAAGCTTCCCAATGACCTTGTTCACGAAGAGGACTCCTCCCGTGGCGGGAATCAGCCAGGAGAGCCACATTGCTCGGGGTTTTAAAACCTGGGGCCCCCTCAGCATGCTGAATATCATTCTTTTTTTCTTTTTTTTTTAAAGATTTTATTTATTTATTGGAGAGAGAGAGAGTGAGAGAGAGCATGAAAGGGGA